ACTAGTAAACAAGTTAAAGAAGTGGGAAGATCAGGCTAGAAAAATATTGTCCACTGTTGTCTCTTGCATACAACTCTACTATTTAGAGAGACTGAATTGAAGTAGCTAAAAACAATCATCACCAATCACCTTTTAATTTCCAATTATGTGGCATTCTATAAAAAATTATTACATTGAGCTTCTTGCACATGGATCTTTAGCCCCACTTTATTGAAATATTTCACACACACACACATCATTCATATTTGTTACTTCATTCTATCTTCTTTTTCTGTCCTTCCTTTTATTTTGTTTTTTATAGTTTATATATTCTCAACGGGGTTAGTTGAAATCCTCACAAAATCACAAAATCTGATAAAATATCTCAATCCTACACTATTGCAGTTCTACCACATTATAGACCTTGCAAACAATTATAATTGCATGTGATGAGTGCACTGGAAATATTTGATAATTAAATAGCCATTGCAACTGATTGATAAAGTACATGGTAATAGAAAATATTTAACAAATTATTCTAACAAGAATATGTAATACATACTAAGGGGAGTCTCGAAGCAATGACAACGTAATCTTTATGTAACCTATATATCGGTTACGGGTACGGCCGTACGTGGAATCAACTATTAATACTTGCGTTAGGATAGGTTGCCTACATCACAACCCTTGAGGTGCAATCCCTTTTCCGGACCCTGTGTAAACACATGATACTTTATGCGACGGGCGACCCTTTATTTAAAATAAATAATCCATATATATATATATATATATATTAGTAGTAGTAGTAGTCTAGCTACCATTTTAGTCTAGAGTCTAGCCAGGATATATAAATCAACTCTGGAAGATCGTATATTTTGGTTAACACATGAAGCAAGCAAGAGTATTAATTAAACTCTAATGATAACCACTAATTAGATCATGATCCAATGATTAACATATCCTAAAAAAGATTAAAGGAAGTCATAACTTCTGTTGCTTGAGAATTGAAATTAGTAAAGGTGTGGGACCGGAAAATCTTCTTGCAGCTGCTGTTTTTAATTGTTTTTGCACCAAAATCAGAATCCTAATGATCTTATGCTAGTATCCCTATTAGGTTATCAGAAAAACTTAACTACTCTCGAAATAATTCTAAATTTGTGTTCAGGGTGGCCTTCCATAAAGCAAGTAAAACAACTGTTTTATGCCCTACATTTGTGGGAGGCCCATTTTTTGTTACACGGCTGTGTATATGTTTAAAAAAAGGTTATGTGCTGTGTGGCTAAAATTCATGGTTTAGCACATTATATGCCTTGCGTTTTACATGCTTAATGTTAAATTACACTTTGTTTGAGCGTAATGGAGTCTATTTCATGTGTAGGTGCATCGGAAATGAAAGTAGAGCTAAAGCGATGCTTAAAGGTCGAAAGTGCGCTCGAGAACGGTGAAAAGGAGAAGCCGGGCAAAAGCCAGCTCGACCAGGCTTTAGCCTGGCGAGGCCAGCTTAAAGCCAGGCCCAACCAGACGTTAGCCTGGTGACGCCAGCTTAAAGCCAGGCCTAGCCAAGCTTTAGCCTGGAGAGGCCAGCCTAATGCCAGGTCCAGTACGAGTTTTGAAGATTTTATTTGTTTTCCGGCTTGACTAGGATTTGACCTACACGTTTAGGTCTTCTCCTAAACATATAAATAGACCTAAAAATGTCACTTTTGGGAGTTTTTTAGACAGACCGAGAGGAGATCGAGTTTGGACACACTTTAGACCTAGGGAGAGCACGGAGCCGTCGTGGAGACCGGAGATTCGACCTAAGGAGGCAAGAACACAATAGGAGCAAGGCGGAGAATTCTTCTACGAGTTTTTCACTTCCTTCTTCCTATTTTTCATTATTGGTTATGAATTATAGTATTGTAGTTTTGCATACTATTATGAATAGCTAATTTGTTATCTAGGGTTTTGATGGAACCTTTTGGAGGATGATTTTCCTGTTACGTTAATATAAATTTGTTGTAGTATTTTCTCTATTTGTTCAACTAAGTTATTATTGTGGTTGGTTGAAGAGCTCTCAATCGACTGTGCCTATTTAGTGTGTATTACTCGGGAGAGAGTGCATATTTAGGTAGTTGTTGAACAACATCACTCCTAACGTAGATGAGGGATCAATACGGAGCGTTTAAAGGTGGGATTAGGGATAACGAAACCTTGGTGCGATCCGAGTGAGCCGTACTTAATGCCAGCTAGCGTAATTTGGGAGAATATGTCTAGTAAATTGTGGTAGTTACTCGGGAGAGAGTTACGACAGTCTGAGCGCTCATGATCAGTAGAGAATACTTAGGCGAATTTATAGAAAACGTAGAGGGAAGGATTTCGACAATTAGGGAAATCATAACTCTAGACCTCCTTAATCTTGTCTCTAACCCTTAGTGTCTGTAGTTGTTAATCTACTAATTTAATTTGTTAGTTAATTAGATACAAGAATCTTAATATTTATAACATAGGAATTGTTCGAGCTTGTCTTCTTAGCAATATTGAACAGTTATATCTAAGCCTTAGTTCTCTGTGAGATTCGACTCCGGACTTGTAAACCGGATTATATTTGCAACGACCGCTTAGTCCTTTTTATAAGGCATAGTTGGGCGTAATCATTATGTGAAGTGAAAAAGTTTGATTTCTTTCTTTAACAAGTATAAAGAAGAAGGATTTGCAACCGCTATGATTTCTGCCAAGAAAATTACACTTGAAATGAATATCAAACTCGAAGTTCATAAGAAACGTGTAATATATAGGAAGTAACAATTTGATGAGAATGTTGATAATAAAATCTCAAAATTTTCGAAGATTCTTTTGGAGTTGATTACTTTATACATAGTAGACAAGGCTATTTTTTTCACTTCAGAATAGATTTGAACAATTCGAAGCATATGAAAATATTTTTAGTTTTCTATTTGGCGATAAAAATTAAGATCAGTTGATGATGGAAATTTGAAGAAATATTAACTTAATCTTGAATGTTCCTTAAAGCAAAATAATCAATTCGATATTGATGGTTTTGATTTATTTTCTGAATTAAAAGTATTAAGGAAAATAGTATAGTTAGAACATAATAGTTTAACTGATACACTCGATTAAATAAAATTATTTGATTCTTTTTCTAATGCCTATATTGCTAATGGAATAATGTTAATAACCTCTGTTACTGTCGCTTCAGCGGAAAAAAGTTTTCAAAATTAAAATTGATAAAATCTTACCTAAGATCAACAATGTCTCTAAAAAGGTTAAATAGATTAGCTATATTGTCAATTAAGAAAGACTTATTAGGAGTCATAAGAAAATTATTAATAACTTTGTATCTAAAAAATCCTAGAAAAATAGACTTGAAATAAATAAATATTTTTTTAAATAAAAAAGTTAAGGCCTCTCATAAAGTTCGACTTTAGGCCAAAAAACTCGTCGGGCCGCGTCCTATTTGTGTTGTGTTTTTTACATGGCACAATATAAAAATTATGGTAAGTTCTAATGAGAAAAATTACTAATTAGTAATGGAAACAATTGAAGGGGGCCTTGGAGCAGCAATAAAGTTGGCTCCATGTGACCTATATGTCACGTGTTCGATCGTGGAATCAGCCATTGATGCTTGCATCTGGATAGGCTGCCTCACACCCCTTGGGGTGCGACCCTCCCGGACCCTGCATGAACATGAAATACTTTGTTCATCAGGCTGCCCTTTAGTAATGGAAACAACTCATCAGTTGCAACCAGTGACGGATGCAGGATTTCCGCTAAGGGGGTTCAAAAAAGAAAAAAACTAAAAAAGATTGTAGCTAGTGAGAATTGAACCAAAGACGTTACAAAAGTTTGAACCCCCTTGACCACTAAGCTATGCTTTTGGGCTATGTTGAGGGGATTCAAAACATAATATATATTGAGGTACAAAACATATAATTTGCCTTATATATGCAAATTTTTTTCCGGCGAAGGGGGTTTGAGTAAACCCCCTTCCGCCCCCCTAAATCTGCCCCTGGTTGCAACATGTCAAGTGGTTGTGTGGCTCATAGTAAAAAAAAATTATTTGAAATGTCTCAAGAGGTTTTTATTTTTATACGTAAGAGATTAAATAAGAAATTTTTGCAGGATTATGTTCTTCGTCTATTAAAATTGTAAAAGGTTATATTGAACCATTTCCTCTCAACAATGTGCATTGACACGCTAGCTCCTTTAAAATAGGGTTTATGAGTTCTATTAATTTCCAGAATTGACAACTGCATATATGGTGGCAAGACTTAAATCTTGAACCACTAGAGTTTAAGTTTGATACACTAAAGTGTAAAAATTAGTATAAAAAACTGATTTGCTACAATAGGTTATTATTTCATTTTCCAGGTTTCATATTAAATTTGATAAGAAGTTTTAGCTATTGTTGTTGCTTAACTTAATAGTATAAAAGTTGTTTACGCTGTCAATGAAGTGCAAAGAAATAAGTGTTTGGATTGTGGAGCTTCCAGTATAACCAACAAGGGTTGTGTTAGACTCGTAAGTACTTCTTTATTTTTTTTTCTTTTTTTCGATAAACTATCATTTCTATTTCATCAAAAAAATTGATCATTGCAGTGTAGGAGCTGCTGACCAGTTCCTTGACTCTTCTTGACAACTAATTCTCAACTATAACACCTACAAGGTGTTACTTCAGCTATTGCATATACAAATACCTCAGCCTATACAATACTCTATAATCAAAGAAAAACAATTCAGAACAATTGTGAGCTACAGAGATAAATTAGTCGAAGGATATCCATTTTGTGTCACCAAATGCTTCTGCCAGCTGCAATGAGTATTGCCCTTTATATGTATATAGCTTGCAATTTCTCTACATGTACTCTCTGATGAAGAGCTTCCACTTTGAAATCTGATCTTGTTCCTATCTCTCCATAGGAGGTATATCATCATCCCAAAAATAGCTGCAATAATAGTTCCAATTCCCTTCTTTTGTCTAGCATAGGTTGTCACCCATTGCAATTCCTCTTGCAATGTTCTTATCTGCCTTGGACACCCAACCAATTCAATAGTCTTTGCCATATAGTCTTCGTGTATGTACAGTCAAAGAAAAGATGCTCAAAATGTTCATCAGCCAGTACACAGAAAACACAAGTTGAAGGAACTTGAATGCCCATCTTCTGTAGCCTCTCAACAGTTGGTAACCTCCCCTGAATGGCCAACCATAAATTGAACTTGTGTCGAGGATATATATGAGGTTGCAAAATCACACACTTCCAGTACACCTTTTGGACCTGAGGAGTCTGCAACTTATATAACTTCTTTATACTGAATCTCCTATCTGTGCTTTGTAGTGTTATCAGTCTTGAATGTAAGTCTCCTTGCATGGTAGGTAGTTCCAGTATAAGCTTCCTAAGTTCAATAATTTTCCTCACTACCCAGGCTGCATTCTTGGGTATGGACATGGTATCAATGATCTGGTTCTTGATGTAGTAAGAATGGATCCATCTAATCCATAGGCAATCTTTTTTCTTGGTGATTGCCCATAAATATTTTTCCACTGCTGCCTTGTTCCAGTTATATAGATTGATAACATTCAGACCTCTCATTGTTTGTGGCAAGCATATCTTATCCCAAGCTACCAGTGCTCTCCTAGAGATTTCTGCCTGTCCTGTCCATAAGAAAGTTCTACATATGGCTTCAATCATTTTCAATATCTTCTTTGGCAATAAAAACACTTGTGCCCAGTATGATTCTACACCAAAGATCACTGATTTTATAAGCTAAAGCCTTCCAGAATATGATAACAGCTTTGCTGTCCAACAGTTGATCCTTGCAGTAATTCTTTCTACCAGTAGTCAACATTGGTGATTTGTCAACTTCCTTGATGCTAATGGCACTCCTAGGTATCTGAATGGCAATGTGCCTTCATTGTACCCTATCTCCTGCAAGATGTCCTCTTTCATAGTTTCAGAAATACCAGCAAGTTATATGGAACTCTTGTCTGGATTAGCTTGAAGACCTGAGGCTTTTGAGAACTTCATAAAAGCTTGCTGGAGCAGTCTAATAGAAGGCAAGTCTGCTCTGTAAAATATCAGTAAATCATCAGCAAAACACACATGTACCACTCCCAACTTTTTGCATCTAGGGTGGAAGTGGAACTCCTTATTCAGAGCTAGTTGATTGAATTCTCTTATTCCATGGCAAACACAAATAGATAAGGTGACATAGGGTCACCCTGCCTTGTTCCCCTTTGACCTCTAAATGGTTTAGTGAGCCCTCCATTTAGTGTTAAGGAGTAGGTGACAGTTGTTATACACTCCATTATCCACTCAATGAAAAAATCCAGTTCAATCGGCATCCTTTTAAGAAAATACCAATCCAAAGTATAATATGCCTTCCTAAGATCAACCTTGAGTACACATCTTGCAGAGATCCCTTTCCTGTTGTATCCCTTAAACAGTTCATGAGTGAACACAATATTATCAGTAATGCTTCTACCTTCTATGAAAGCTTATTGTGAGTCTCCCACCAAATGATTTATCACTTTCTTTAGTCTGCAAGTGAGTACTTTACTGATGATCTTATATAGAGTTGTGCAACATGCTATAGGTCTGAAGTCCTTTACCTGGGTGGGGTTAGTGACTTTTGGGATTAGAGTGATAACAGTACAGTTGATAGCCTTATGTAACTTCCCTGGTTGGAAGAAGTCCAGCACATCAGTAATCACATCATCTTTTACCTCCTCCCATTGTTGATTGAAAAATTCAATTGGGAATCCATCAACACCTGGTGCTTTGTCAGTTGGCATGCTCTTGATAACATCAATTATTTCCTCCACTGTAACAGTTTTGATAAGCTCCAATTCTTGTTGTCTTGAGAGACAGGCCCCTTTCTTAATCACCTCAGCATTTGGACAAGGAAGAACATGTGATGACTCTCCCATCAGCTTCTTCAAGAAAGAAAGAAAATGATCTTCCACTTGTTTTGGTTCTGTGATTCTGATACCTGCATCATTATGGACAGAAATAATTGTGTTAGCAGTTGTGCGCATCTTCCATTGGGCATGGAAGTACTTCGTATTTGCATCTCCATATTGTATCCAAGTAGCTCTTGACTTCTGCGTTAGAACCTGTTCCTCTACATTACTCCACTTTTCCACTTCCAATAAAGCTTCTCTCTCCTGTTCTATATAGTCTTGGCATAGTGGTTGTAGGGAAAGGTAATATTGTGCTAATTCTAATTTCTGTTTGGCTTGGTTCAGTTTTTGTTGGTAAGAGGCCATCTAATCATTTAACTCCCTCAGTGCCTCCTTTAGCCTCTTGAGTTTCTGCCATGTTCTTGACTGCCCTACATCTCCATAGTCCTGTGTCCACACTTCTTTCACTATTCTTGTAAAGTCTGGGTGGTTAAGTACTATATGATAAAGCTTGAATGGTCTAGGATGCAGGTGCTGTCGTGTCATTACAAAGTTACAATTCAGCAGTATAGGTGATTGGTCGGAAACTCCAGGATTCAAAAACTATGCTTCAATATGGCCATAGTTCATCAGCCAACTATAGTTCCCAAATGCCCAGTCTATCTTGCTGAAAACTCTTGCATTTTCATCTCTCTTGTTACACCAAGTGTAATACCACCCTGTGCTTTTCAAGGGAGTAAATTGTAATCAATCTAATAAGTCCCTAAAGCCTTGTACCTCTCCTTGTGTTATAGGGGATCCTTCCGATCATCTGCATGCAACACATTGTTAAAGTCACCACTAATCAACCACTCAGTTGTAATATTAGCTCCTATGACAACAAGCTTATCCCATAACTTTTGTCTTGGCATCAGCTCATTATATGCATAAATCACAGTGAGCATCAATCTTCTATGACTGTTTGGGTCTTCTACTTCACAATGGATGAACTGAGCATTTACTTCCAGTATTTGGAGCTTAATATGAGATTTCCACAATAACCAAATACGACCATTATAAGAATGGTCATAGTTATAATGAGCTTTCCAATCCTTTGCTATTTTATGTGTTATTCTTCTGGCTTTATTCACTTTTAATCTTGTCTCAACTATCCCCATTACTTCTATTTTATACTTCTTTAGAAAGAGACTCATCTCCTTCTGCTTAAAGGTCCTATTGAGCCCTCTAATGTTCCACGTACTTATAATCATGGAGGTATGGGATGGCCATGCCTACCCTGCCCTACATTATATAAGACATATCCTTGAGTGAGCACCTCAAATTTGTTAGTAATACCAATGTGACTGGTAGAGCAGCTAGCTACTTGTGTCTGCTCTTCCAATCCTCCCTCAGCCACTCTTTTACCTTGCCACCCTTCTTTCCTAATTGTTGCTACTAATGCTGGAAATTCATTCCCATCCAAAGAAGCCTTTGTCCCCTGTGGTTCTGTGTCAATGTCCCTTTCTTCAGAAGTATGAGGACCATTAGTGGTTGGCTCATTTACATTGCTATTCTTGTCTTTTGCCACCCATTTAGTCACCACCTTCCTTCTCCTTGTACCTCTTCCATTCTTCCTTTTTTGCTCTGCAAACTCTTCATTTGTCTCTTGAGCCTTCCTCTGTTTGCATTCCTCAGTAGTATGCCCAACCTTAGCACAATCTGTGCAATATTTTGGTTTCCAATCATACTCAATACCTTGTTGGATAATCCCTGCTGGAGTGTGAATTTCAATGTCATTTGGCAAGGGATGAGAAATATCTGTTTCTACTAGCACTCTAGCATATGAGATACAATCCATCTCGGCTGTAAACAAATCAGTGTACATAGGCTTACCCACTACACTAGCCAGTTTGCTTAGTACTTCAGTAGACCAGTATCCAACTGGTAAGCTAGGAAACCTCACCCACAATGAGATTACAGTTAGACATTCAAGATCAAACACAAAATCAATCGATCAATTCTTCAATATGAACGGCTTATTATGGAATGTATAGGGACCTAATTGCATGACTCGATCCCTATCATCCACTAAATCAAATCTGAAAATGTAATAGCCATCATCATGATATAAAATTTTTGGCTTGTTAACAAAGGTCCACATATTATCAACATAATTCTCCATGGATTTGAAGTAAGGATTATCCCCCAGAACATATCCTATAAGAGAATTGCCCCAATATTCCTGTTGTTCCTTAATGTCCTCTGATGATAGGCTATAATTACGTATTTTAGTCGCTTATTACACTCTTATTTATTGCACTTTAATTGCGTTTGAGCTTTAATCGCTAGAGTATTGCACTAAATAATGTATTTTATGCCTTGTAGGAGTGATTCTGAGCTATGTAGATATTATGAGATGAATTCAAGTGATTTGGAGCTTTGAAGTTTGAGTAAAAGCCCAAGGAATTAAGCCGGGATCGTGTTCGGGCATCAATGATGATAGTTAAGAACAAAACAAAGAATCGAGCGGGCATACGGTGAATTGTCTAGTAAAATGCACATAGCATTTCGCTTAGAACTCCGTTTGGGCTCTACAATATATCGTTGAAAAACTATTTGAAAGGCCTACAACTTTCATGTTTTGCATTTTCACGAATTCCCACTACCGAGTGCAGCGACGCGGGGCGCGCCGCTCCTGTGGAAAATTTCTGCAACCTGTCAGAATCAGCTCTGTGAACTTTCCCACAAGCACACTGCGTGGCGCGTCGCCCCATGTGGCGCGCCTGTGCAAATTTTACAGAGCCCGAGTCCTATTTCACGTAGGAAAAGGTGTTTCATCTGGGCCCGACCCTATTTGGTATAAATACATGTAAAAATGCTACTTTGAGAACGGGGACATACTTTTGACATAATTTAGACCTAAGGAGGCTAAGGAGACCGGGGATTCGACCTTAAGGAGGCAACAACACACCAGGAGCAAGGCGGAGAATTCTTCTACGAATTTTTCACTTCCTTCTTCCTATTTTTATTATTGGTTATGAATTCTAGTATTGTAATTATGTATACTATTATGAATAGCTAATTTGTTATCTAGGGTTTTGATGGAACCTATTGGAGGATGATTTTCCTGTTACGTTAATATAGATTTGCTGTAGTATTTTCTCTATTTGTTCAACTACGTTATTATTGTGGTCGGTTGAAGAGCTCTCAATCGACTGTGCCTATTTAGTGTGTATTACTCGGGAGAAAGTGCATATTTAGGTAGTTGTTGAACAACATCACTCCTAACGTATATGAGGGATCAATATGGAGGGTTTAAAGGTGGGATTAGGGATAACGAAACCTTGGGTGAGATCCGAGTAAGCCGTACTTAATGCCAGCTAGCGTAATTCGGGAGATTATGTCTAGTAAATTGTGGTAATTACTCGGGAGAGAGTTACTGTTGTGCGCTACTGTGTTAAAACACAAAATCAGAAAACTGTTAGAAGAATAAAAGAAACCGGAAAAACAGTAAAGAATAAGAAATATTCCGAGTCCACAATTTGCTTGTGTGTCCTTAAGAAATTTTAACCCCCTCACACGTTGCCAAGGTAATGGATTAAATCCTCCCAGGATGAAACGAAATAAACCTTCCTGCAACAGTGGCAATACAAACTGCATGATACCAACGAACTCAAAGAACAGAGCAAAATCACACTTACGAATTTGAGAGAGAGAGACTGCAAATTCGAATGCAGTATTTTTTCAGAAAGAAGGAAGTTCTGTAGTGTTTTGGTGTGTTTTTGTATATTAAAAACGAAGCCATGCCTCAGAATTTATAGGCAATTATTGGAAGAGGTGTGATGTCTGTTCTGGAAAAGGTGTCTGTTCAGATTTACGCGTCCTGCCGCGGTTACGCCAGGACCGCGGCCAGAGTGGTCCTCTGAATCTGCAGAAGTGTTCTGGCGCGGTCCTACCGCGGTTACGCCAGGACCGCGGCCAGACTATCCTTCTGAATCTTCAGTAGTGATCTGGCATTTAATTAATTATTAAATAATTAATTAAATAAATTTTGTCCAAAAATAATCTTATCAATCGATAATTTGACAAATCCAAATCCAAATCCAAATCCAAAGCCAAAGCCAAAGCTGAAGCCGAGCCGAGCAACGACGACGGCGCGAGGGTTCATCTCTTCAACTCCTTTTAAGAGCTTTAAGAAGTGATTCTATGTATAAGCATACAAATGTAGTTGTCCCTCACCAATGAGGGACAAAGTGCAAGTCAAAAGCTCACTTCATTCAAATTTTCATTTCCCTCCATTTTATTTCCCACCATTTCCAATTCACACTCTTAGACTTTAAAGCCCTAATGCTTAAAGTCTTTGAAGCCCAATGCCTTTAAAGTCCAACAATCCCCCACATGAATGGGAATGGCTGTAACAAGAATGATCATAGATGAAAGCTGTGTGATTTGAAAGTAAGGATTAATCGCATCTGGATAAGTAGGTTTCCCTTTCAACTTTCCGTAGTGAACATATGTCGGATATACTCGGTCAATCGGTAGATTTGATGTCTTTGAACCGTCGAACTTTAGTGTATACCTAGACAACCATATGTCACACAACCAACCCTTAGCCGTCTTTTTGTTCTCATTGTTGTGGAAAATTATTTCGAAGAGTTTCAAAAGAAACCAAAAAATGGCTTATCAAAAGTAGTCTATTTATAAAAAAAATGAAAAAAGAACTTTCAAAAGTAAATCCAATTGTATTATTTAGATTCAAAGAAAGATAAGGAATTTTGAACCGCTAAGGAAAGGGGGTCGGATAAATAGTTGGGGAGTGAAATAGTCTTCGCCGTAGTAAATAGGAGAGAAAATCGAATCAAATTATTCGTTTTGAGGTAAGAAATTCTCAAGTACGGTTCTAAGGGAAGGAATTGAACTACCTATTCCGGCTGGGGAGAACAGGCCATTCAACAGGGTGATTCTGAAATTGCAGAGGCTTGGTTCGATCAAGCCGCTAAGTATTGGAAACAGGCTATAGCGCTCTTACAAGTAAATACTCAAGACCCAAGTAGGCTTACAAATCAGATCATGATATGATCAAGTGCTTTCTGGGTCGTCTCAGACCTTCTAATTGGTATTTATCTCCAAAATATTTGGAGTTTCGTTTCAGCCATGAACACCGCCTAGTTTCATAAGTGCGTAGAGAATTGGCCTTACAGAATTCTCATTGAAGCGGCTTCCACTTCACACTTACATAGGTGATTCCTAAACGTGTAATCCTTTAGATTGACACTATTTGATAAATACCACATCAAACTTAGGTAATCATTAAAGAACATGTAAAGTTCTATCCTTGTTACTGAACATTGTCTTCATCACGAGAAGGGACCAAAGATTTTACTTTG